TGTGTCTGATCTTCTGCCGGACTGAATCCAAATTGAGGAGAGTCAAAACTCTCAAATTTAGCTAACACGCTAACCACTGACCAAGTCATCGATCATTTGTTCCAGTCTCAGAATCAAATGGTACGCTAGATGGACCAGTTAGCCCCAAAAATAAACCAGCTAGCCCAGCAGATGGGACAGAATCTAAAACAAAAGCCGGTCCCACTCCAATACCTTTCAGCCATTGTTAGAGCAGCTGCAGCAGCCACAGCCCTTTAATACTTAGTCCTTGTCTTCTTGATAGACAAATATGATAGAAATTCCAGAAAATGTACTTCCTCCATCACAAATGTGAATTATACATCTCTCTGAGGCCAGATGGTTTCCTTAAAAGCTGAAAGTATCTGCTAATATACATTTGCTAAGGTAAGATAGCAATAGTCTTATCATCCATGAAACAGTCTAGTTTCCTTTAAGTGATCTAAATTGATGATAGTCAATATATCTAATGGCAATTAACTCCACTTTGTTCCTAATCTCCTCACATACAGCATCAATGGATGAGCAAAATAGTAATACTGAAAGAAAGAAAAAACTTTGTGATTTCCCAACTAATACATCCATTCATGTGTGTGTAGCATTTTCCACCCCTTGTAAACCGTTTTTTAATATCAGAAAAATCCAAACCCAAATGTACAGGAGCTAGTTTTGTCCTTAATAATTTCAATTTTCCCTATTGTGCATCTTTTCTAGTTTTATACTTTTTCCCAGCTTTAATAGTGTAACAGCTGTCTGATAAAACATGAGAGATAGGTTAAAGTTTTTCTTTAAAGAACATAAACATTTAAAAGCTTATCAATATTTTAAATAACCTGTTTTAATCCATTTATCCATTTATCCATTTCTGCTTCTAACAATTCACACCTATGGTCTTGGGCATGTGAACAGGATTACTAAAATTTCTGGTGGTTCTGTTGAATTCACCAATATTCCGTTAATTTCTTCTAACTCGTTTGGTAATCTAGCGTCTCATCACAGATAGTGGAAAAGGCTGTTTGGTATTCCAATGAATGGGCAGCCAAAACAGTAAGTTTTATATTTTCATTTTGCAAGGAATGAGGCTTTATTCATTGCCTCAGTACAAGCAAGACTACACCACAAATGTTTTTAAACGCTTCAGACCAAGCTACAGATGCTGGTCTTCTGTTTCAAAGTCCCTGCAAAACATTCCTTGCATGAGACAGATAGCTGACTTGGTCAGTAGATTCTGACAGAGGATTTGATTAACGAAAACGGTTAAATGGCAAAAATCAGTGTAGCAGCATAGCTGAAGCTGCTACCGTGAACTGATGGTCTAGATTGATAGTCATTACATGCCTTTGTATCCAGAAATAGATTTGTTCCCCACATATCTGCTAAGAATAAATGGAAACAATGCATCGTTCACAAGAAATGACAGCTGTAGCGTAGAAGCATCATTTCCACTTGGTGCCTTTCAGATATGTTGGAGTTCACTTTCCATAATTGTTTTGATCATCCTGATTGGAAGATTACTGAACAGTTGCCGTGATTGCAAGGACAAAATCCAATGAAATCAGCATAGGCCACTGGTTGGGGAAGGCTAACTTAGAACACCTATACTATTAAAAATAATATTTATACTGTTAAAAGGTTCTGAGTGTAGACTTTTTGGATTTCAAGAGTTGCTAGGTTTTCTTATCTGCTCCACAAAGGTAAATCCAGATTTAAATGTATTTACTTATATACAATTCTGAGAACAATAGCATCTGACTATAAGTTTTGGAATGTGAATATCCACATATGAAAGGCAAGAACTGTCAGTAGCTGACAGGAAACTGTCAGGAAAAAGTATGCTTTTTTCCAGATATGTATGTACATCTTTTCCTAGTCATAAAATATTTTGTAAGAATAATATTTTAATTTACATGAGTTTCAACACAAATCAACATCCTCTAACATTCTGGATGTCAAAAAAAAAAAAAGTCAAAGATTAGCAGCCATAACAAAGACAAACCTCCAGCTGAGGCTCATAATCAAATATAAGAACCAGAAATTGCTCTGCTTTTAAATCATGATAAGCAATGAATGACAAATATGAATGAATAGACAGCACACCAATCCAAGGAGCAAGTATATTTGAAGGAAAGAAAGGAACTGTCCAAGTGACAGACAAGAATGGTGGAAAACAGAAGGAATGGAATTTTCTAGAATCAAATTGCTCACATAGTGACTGTCACAGGAATTATCATTAGAGGATCCACCAAGAATATTATCTCAGTCAATGGTTATACATATGACATGATACTTGTCTAATACAAATTGACCATTCTTAGTTATTGTACAAAATTAGATATGGTCATCAATGGTTTAGCATCAAACTTTAGTCTTTGTCAATTATCCCTAAAATGTCCTTGCTTATTAAAATTTGTTACATCCTTATGTAGATATTGTGGGAAAAATAATAATCACTTTTAGATTAGGGCTCCTGGGGCATTAATGCGCCAGGGGATTCTTTGACATCTACTCTGTCTTTTAACTTTTTTTCCCCTTAAGATCAGTTTGCATGCTATAGAACCAAGCACTATCCTCCAGCATCATCTTTATTTCAATAATGCTTCTAGGCCCCAAATGAATTCATAAGCTTTCTTAGAAAATAAAACAAT